TGAAGGTCAGGATCACGTGTTTCGTGTCAATCAACTGACCTTCCTTACGCATCTTGATCGCCTAGCACCCCAGACATTTTGGTCAGCTAACTCGGAAACGAACTCTTCTGAAACACACAGAAGGTCGATCTCCGAGATCACACCTCTACAAAAATTCAGTGTTTTATGCGCTGACACAGTTATAGCTTACTTGTCCAAGTTTGGTTTGTGACAAAAGTGAAGCAGACTGGGTTGGCCGAAGAGGGTATCAATAAGCAAGTCTCCAGAACGGAGACGCTTTATGTTCCTTGGCTCACCTACGCAAGAATGGATGTATTTGCTTATCAGGAAAGGAGACATCTTTTTTAAATTCTCCAGAGGCACTGGAAACAACAACAAAGCGAGGACAATTTAGAAGTTCTTTGGCATTTGCAACGGTACGAATGATTTTCAATTTCAATATCTTTGCTCAATCGGATTTGTCTAATGATTTTCAATGTCTTGATTGGTGTCATTTGACTCAGGTTTTTTTTTAAAAGGAAAAGGGAAGCCATGATGAAAAGATAAAGATTCGGGTCCGACGGCCCCGCCCACCACGGAGCCCAACAAGGGAACACAGATTCCTGTGTTAGGGCTAGCCGGACCTATAACGCAAACTGAAGCCCCACAGTTGGCTTTCCCGAAAGCAGGTACTCCCGAGAGCTTGACCCCAAGCCACTGACACAAGGACTAGTGACCAGCCGATTGACACCCGTGAGGACGACTAAGGTGCCTCCCGTTTAGCTGAAGCAGAGGCCAAAGCACTGTGTTGGGGACAGTACCTCGCCCCTCAACTACCAGGACCCTCCTTTCCAGCGACACGGGTCTCCACGCACGGCAAACACGTGGTCAGTTTTCTCGCCACTCGAAAACTAGAAACAAGGTCTGTTCCAGCCTCTCGTGACGAGCCCCAAACTCCGTAGAGAGAAACCACAAGGGAAAAGGGAAGGGAAAAAGTTCCAGCCAAGAGGAGAGGAGACGGAAAAGAGGATAGATCACTGGGGCTCCAGGATCGTGACACCCGTCTCACCAAGAAGATGATCCCCTGAAGGGCTAGGGTACCTCGAGACTGCCACACCCGTACTCACAAAAGTGAGCCCCCTGAGGGCTTACAGTTCTCTGGACTTTTTTCTAATGTGATTCTAAATAATTCCTACGGGAATTTCAGCATTTAAGTATAGTAGTGAACCACACATCGCAGTTTTCATCATCTCTGCCTAAAACTCACAGTTAACTTTCACTATACATTGTGGCTCAACTAAAGGCGGTACAACTCTGATACACGCCTTAATTTCACCAAATGTGGTGATATGTGTTCTGTGCTGGTTTTTGGTGCGATTGCGTGTTGTATGGCAACCCTGTTGACTTTGAAAAATCTTTCGCTGGAGTTCGTTGGTTAGCGTCATGCTTTGCGTCTAAGAAGCTAGGGGAGAAAGATAAAATGGTGGAAGTTGTTGAATTGAAGTTCGGCAAAAGGAAATATCGTTGTGGCCATCCTGTTTAGGGGCAAAGGGTATTTGGAGGTGTGGAAAGAGGGTCTGGGAGATTATTTTTAGTGGCTGTGCATGATAGAAGTAGGGATTTGTGATTATTTGTTATTTTGGTTGATCTTTAGATTATGGTAACTTGGCGATTTTTTGGCGACCAACTTTCCTACAGCAACCCTCTATTTTTTTTTTCCGCCACCATTTTGTCTTCACGAAGTAAAGACATGTTTCTTTTCTTTTTATCTACTGAACACTTCTTCCAACAATCTACTAGCCGAATTACACTTATGCTAGAAATTTTATCTAACAAAACTGCTTAATCATGACAAATATTCACTGCAAAATTGGGAAAAAGTGCACAATACCATACTCCTCACGCGTTTTTCAAAATAACACATACACATAAACCATGTACACGTCGACTTATTTTTACTTAAAAAAACATCCCAGAATTACCCAAAAATGGCATTGCGCACACTCTTCACTATATCCATGTACACTGCTTTTTTCTCATAAATTAGAAAAATTTCACGAAAATACATGACAATTTTCTGAATCTTTAAACCCGTTAAAAAGAACATATATGAAATACCTACCTGATCGCGAAAAAGTATATACCCTTTCCAAATATGAACATTTCCACATATAAAATAAATAAAATATCCAAAAACTTTTACCTCTAAATCATCTATTATATTATAAACGTCACCAACGAATTCATACCGCAAGCATTACAAATACTTAGTGTCAAATATTTAAATTATTTCCATGCACGTTTACTTCAACTAAAACGTATACCAAATTCCTACAAACATAAAATTCAAAAAATAACTATCATTTAATTAAAATATCAATAAACCATGTACACGTCGACCTTATTTTTACTTAAAAAAAAATCCCAGAATTGCACAAAATGGCATTGCGCACACTCTTCACCTATATCCATGTACACTGCTTTTTTCTCATAAAATTAGAAAAATTTCACGAAAATGCATGACAATTTTTCGGAATCTTTAAACCCGGTTAAAAAGAACATATATGAAATTACCTGATCGCGAAAAAGTATGTACCCTTTCCAAATATGAACATTTCCACGTATAAAATAAATAAAATATCCAAAACACTTTACCTCTAAATTATCTATTATATTATAAACGTCACCACGAATTCATACCGCAAAAATTACAAATACTTAGTGTCAAATATTTAAATTATTTCCATGCACGTTTACTTCAACTAAAACGTATACCAAATTCCTACAAACATAAAATTCACAAAAATAACTATCATTTAATTAAAATATAATTAAATTAAAAAACACTACTTAAAATATAAATAAGCACATACATTAAATTAATAAAAATTAGCTTACAATCCTAATTACTTTAAACTAAATCATTTCTAATAACAATTTTCCCAATGATACCAAATTACTTTACTTCCACCTTACATTTAGAACAATGCATAAAAATAATATCCTCAAATAATTAAAAATACTAACTTATCTAATCTTCTTCAGAATCTTGCTTACATGGTGGATACACTTTTATTATGGATTCAATAAAATTATTGAACGATTTTTTCTGCGAATTTTTCCTCCACACTTCCTCCGCTAAATAAAAAGCAAAATTCTCTTTATCACATCTAGAATTCACTTTAGACAGCGCCATAAAATCCCAAAATTATTCAACCCTACTTCACACAACACACAATGAAGCTTAATACAAAATAATATACAGCCACAGATATTTTTCCAAATTACCCCCTTTTCTGACTAAAGAACCGTAATTCGTCCATTAATATCACCTGACATATCCCATGATCTCTCATTTTCCACACACAAAATAATGCGTAATCGGAACTGAGTACTGCTCACATTACATTATTACCAAAGTCCCAGGTAGTAAGTAACCTTTATCGCCTCCAAAATGTCGCCAAACTACCAGTTACCATATTCTAAAGATCAGCCATTATTTATTTGTGAACCATAGTATGAATTTTCTGGATAGTGTGTCTGGCTGTCATATAAATACGATAGTGATTACGTGGCGGCATGTTAAAAGTGGTATTTCTTCTGTTTGAAAAAGCATTAATTAATGGTAAGTGCATTTTATTTTATTCTCGTTCTTATTTTGTAGAATGTTATGTTCATTGTTTTTTTAGTATGAATTTATGTCGTTATTGTTGCTTTTTTTTTTTTTTTTTTTTTAATTGTTTGAAATTTATTTTAGTTATTTTGTTGATTAGTGCGTACTGTTCTAAATTGTGCAATATGTATATTTTTTTTAAAGTTGAAACAGAACACAGTATACATGGTATTCTTTGAAATTTATTATTGTTATATTAATTTATTAAAGTGAGGTATGCGTAGTTCGTAGATCCGTTTGTTGTCTAAATTGTGCAATTCATAGATGTTTTTTAAGTTTGAAACAGGACACTGTGTACATGGTATTCTTTGAAATTTATTGTTATTATGTTAATTGTATTAAAGTGAGGTGTGCGTAGTTCGTAGGTTGCCTAAATTGTGCAATTCATAGATGTTTTTTTAAGTTTAAACAGGATGCTGTGTACATAGTATTCTTTGAAATTTATTGTTGTTATGTTAATTTATTAAAGCGAGGTGAGCGTAGTTCGTAGATCCGTTCGTTGCCTAGATTGTGCCATTCGTAGATTTTTTTTTTATGTTAAAACATATCACTGTGTACATGGACTCTTGTCAAATAATTTTGGTTAGAAACTTTACGGATTTGCTATCTAAATTTTTTGTTTTTGTTTCGGATTTTTAGCTTAAATTGTGTGTTCAAAATGTGGTTTTTGCTTTAGCGAAAACTGTGTTTTTGAAGACATTTTAAGCTTAAAGTTCGAAATGTAGACAAAAAATTTAGATAGCAATATGGCAGCATGGATTTTCTCGCCAAAAAGTTTGGCGACTTGAGGGTGCATATCAGAGTAGTTCCCTAAAGGCATAATATGACCTTTTTTAAAAAAAAAATTTATTTAGTTTACTCATGCTGTTTCACTGTGGGTGAAATTTAGTCATTGATTTATAACCTACTTGCTTATAAGCTATTGAGCTATTCCTTACAAGCTATCTTTTATAATACACAAAGGAAAAAAAATTCTAAAAATTGCTAGAAATTAGATTCTGTGATATTTCTAGATTACAAAAGCATTTGCTTGATTGAAGACAAACTGTTGATGCAACTTTCTGTTGAATAATTTCAACAAAAATAAATATTACATACTCTTAGTCAGTACAAGAGAAAGTTATTTTAAAACATAACAGATTTTGCTTATTTTACACAAATCTCTGTACACTTCGAACATTTTGAAATCGAAGAAGTGATGGGGGATGGTTCACAAAGTGGCAAATAAATAAAATTATATGAATTAATTTTGAAAGAAAGTCAGCGTTTCGTTAAATAACCGCAAAATCATTTTTGAAAAGAAATAAAGAAAGAAATAAAACTAAATAAAACGAGAATTAGAACTTACTGTAAACGAGTAAAACAAAATTAGCGTAGTTTGAAAATTACGTAAATTCAATTAATTTTTCTGTGAACAGAAGATTTCCAGAAAACGGAAACAGACAGACAGACAAAGTAGACATATGTCTTGTTTTGCACCCGCTAAGTCTTTCTGCACCGATGGGCGAAAAATCAAGCTTAGCTGCGAAGGAAAGTTATATAGAAAGGGGACAATTTCGGTTTCCAGAGAAGAGTAAAAAGAACTTCGTATTTTTTTATACGAGTTCAAAAGGCTTGGAAGAAAAATTGGGACAAAATAAATAGCCCGTAGTAGTTAAGAGGAGAAAGGAAAAAAATTTTTTAAAAAAATGGGCCTCGAGAGGAAAAGGAAGAGAAGTAGAAAATAATCTTAATATGTTATAGCGTCTATTGGTGCGTGTGTGTGTGTATGGATGTGTCAAAAACTGGGGGGGAAAACTCATCTGATTAGGAATGTAACGTGAAGTAAATAAAATTAACTTCAATTTGGAATATATAGGTACACTAGCATAATTTTGTAAATGAGCATATAAAGGAGATTTAGTTTGTAACTTATAAGGTATATAATATATCATATAATTTTGAGCAAAATTGGAAAGACAACGCATGCTAATATAAATAAAACCTTACCGGTAAATACGTATACAAACTGTTTTTCATTTTGAGATCACCGGTCGTTACCTCGGGGTTTTCCGACGCTTCGCATTTATCTTTTTTTACTGCTTTTTTCGGATGTAAAGGATTTTAGGATTTAAACAACGAGAAACTGTAAGCATACATATATCAGAGAAACATTAAAACATGCTTTATATTACTTATTTAAATGTTTTTATAAGTTTAATTCAAACGCCGTATTAACAAAAGGTAATTTAAATTTCTGTCATACAATTTCGCGTTAAGCTACAATTATATTGGACGCCCTAGAGAAAAATTATTAAATATAAATATATTTTTATTTCGTGAGAGTAAAATAATTATAAAATTAGCATTCCTCTTAAATAAATTGATTTGTCAATAATTAATTACCAAGGTGCACACAGAGCCCTCTTGTGGGTGACCACAGAGCGAAAGCAAGGCAGCGCTAATTCCTCTCATAAATATTTTTATTTTTGCAATTACTATTGTTCTTACAGTATTAGAAAAACTTCAACATCGGTAAGAATTTCATCTTAAAAATTTTTATCTAAATCCACTCTGTAACTTTATCGATATAGTTTGTCACTATCATCAGCTTATTATTAAGATTTGTCCTTTCAAATGAAATAACAGCTTCCAATTTGATTTGCAGGTGAAATCTCATTTGAGTTTGGTCTGGGTGAAACCAGGAGGTTAGAGAACATTCCTTTGAAATATAGTTTCCTTTTAATCAGGTAAGAAAAATTCTGTAAAGTAAATTACGTTCTGTATTGTACTAAACCTTGCATATTGCGCAGAATGTGGCTTGTAGTGGTTTTATGTTGATATAACCGTTAAGAAGGAAAATATTTGTATAATCATGTTCAGCAAAATTATATTGAATCTTAATGCTTGTTATAATTTTACTTTTATATATAATTCTATGCTACATATATAACAATGCTGGCAGTAAATTCTGTTGTGACAATTTAACTTCGAAGTGCCAAAAATATTATGTGTGATACGATACACTTTTTGAATGCTAATATAATCGTAAAAAAAAGGGAAATAATTGCGTAATGTTAAAAAAAGCGAGACTGATATTGAGCTAATCTTAATGCTTGATTATTATTATGTTATGATTCGAAATTTCATTTTTATAGATTATTTATATTCTGTGTTACACATATAGCAATTGTCGCTGTTCCTTTTTAATAATTGAACTTCGAAGTAGCACGTGTTTTGCGATACAGTTTTAGAATTTCAGTGTTAGAGATGATTTTTAAAATAGAATTCTTATCCTAAAATAAATAATTCTACTTTAAATTTAATGCAGTTTTTTTTTTTTTTTTTTTTTGTTTTTTTTTTGTTCCCCCTTTTTTATTTAGCAGCACAACATTTTGAATCAAACATTATTTGTTTTTGAAAAGTAGTTTGCATTTAGAATGACTAGTTAAATGTATGAATATTCGTGAGTACAGGATAAGCAACTTTAGACAAAATTCAGCTGTAGATTTAATGTTAACATTAAGGAGTGACCACATTTCATGAAAATTTGATGTAAGTCATACTTTTTCAGCAGAGATTTATATCAAATTCTCTAAAAGTGCATTGAGCATTCAGGATAAATTCCAATCTAAATTCTCTATAATTTTTCAAGTCTTGGTATTGATTAAAATGTTTGAAAAGTTATGCATTTTTAATTTGAATATTAGAGATTTTACGGAGGGACATTTGTGCTGATGAATTATATTTTATATTTTAATATTTTGCATGAAATTGGGAATTGATTAAATTTATACCTACAACATTTTAAAATTTTGAACTGATAGCTTTTCTTCTTTGAAATAATATTTGATAGAATTAAACTAAGCAACATAGAACAGAGTGAGAAATAGTTATTAGATTTACAGTTATTTAAAAAAAAAAAAAAAAAAAATGAGTTAAAGTGCAGAATCTCCCACTTATTTGTTTGGTGCTTTTTACAAAAGTAAGAATTGGATTTTTGTCAATTTTCTTTGACTTTTTAAGTGAAAATAGGTCGATGTGTACATGGATAAAGGGAGTGCACAATGCCATTTTTGTGCAATTCTGGGATGTTTTTTTAAGGGAAAATAGGTCAATGTGTACATGGATACTGAGTATGTGCAATTCTTACAATCGCGCCAAGCAGTGGGCAATTCTGCTCTTTTTCCTAAAAATGTTTGAAATTTTGGCATTTGTGTATCTGTCAGGAGCAAATCATAAACTAGAAATATGGCCCCGATAACCAATGTTAGTGAAATATTAAAAGTCAGTTGGAACAAAAGTAACATTACCTAAATAATTAAATTTATTATAAATTGTAAACAAGTTAACATTAGGTACTTTGTTAGCATTTTTGTTTATTAAGCATAACTGTGATCAGTAATTTCCTCAAGGAAATGTAAGGACTCTTACATAGTATCAGATTGGTACATATTGTCATATTTATGAGAATGTATGAACTATTACCTAATGATTTTCCACTAATTATTGTGTACTTGCACTGCTGAAAGAATCTCCAGTATTATTTTAGCTTTCCTCATAAAAATGACTTAACTATAATTTACATTTTGTTTGGTGGAGGGAAGTGATTAAAATTTGAAATTTGTTGTAACTATAGGAATATGCTGTGCATTGTTAAAAACATGGAATTATTCTCAGGGAAAAGTGCAGAAATGGCCATAACACAGTACTTTACCTGAAAAAGTTACATTTATCATCATTTTTCCCTCTTAAAATCATAGTTACATTCTTTTTGAATATTTAAATATATAATTATAAGGAGTTATCTTCTTCTTACGTGCATGCTCTTGTTATATATCCATATTAAATATGTAACCATCTTAAAATCCATGATTTAAATCCTAGCGAGGACATCTATTATTTTTTTTTTTTTTTTTTTTTTATTTCTTTCTCTGATAACCTAATAGCTCTGTGGTGGCATCTGAACTAAAAAAGAAAATTTATTTATCACCAGGATTTGATCATTCCTCTCTTCCTACTCATCCTTTAAGATCAGAGAGTATAAGTAATTATTATACAAACTCTCGTGGGAGCATATCGAGCTGGCAGTCAGATCTGTAGCTCGAATCTTGGTAAGGACATTTGTGATTTTTCGTGGATCTTATTCTGAAAAACCCAATAGCTGTACAAAGTATTACAAAAATGGGTACTTTTCTGTTTGGCCAGCGCAAATTTTGCTAAGCAGACTTTATTGGTGACAACATACAGTACACACATAAAAAATGTTAACAAATATTAGTTAGAATTTTTTATTTTGAAAGCATAAACATTTTAATATTTAAAATTTTGTAAAAAGGTAATAAATAAAGACGATAAATTTGTAAAAAGACATTAAGAATTTGCTTTCATGGTTCAACATCCTGATTTGCCGGTTCATATCACGTGACCCCAAGTGATCTCATTTCACTTAAACTACGCTACAAAAATCTAATTCTCTCAATAATTATCTACGTTATTTTCTCACTTTGGAATACAAGTTTAAATTCAAGAATTATTTCAATTTGTACAAATAGCTTACTCAGAAATTATGTAAAACCGCAGTGCTTGACTTTGCCTGTTCTATATTTTCGGGTGAGCGGTGTGATTGCATCCTAATTGGCTTAATTATCATGAAAGGCCTTAGGGCATAAAATTGAATTATCTGGTAAAAATTCTATGTAAATGGTATGTCAGTATTGAAAGAAACAATCTGATAAGAAATGGCTGCGATTTGTTTTAAAAATGTGGGGTAAAAGGTTACCAGCGAGGATATTTCCTTTGGCATCAGCTGTACCATTATTGGCAACTTTATCGCCTGCACCGGTAAAACGAAAAAGTCCCCAAAAATGTTCTCGTATAATATACAGTGTAGCTAAATAATGTCTCCACATATAGAAAAAATACTGACTTTATTTTAGTAGAACAAATTATGTATATTAACACATTCAAATTATAGAGTTGTTTAGGTGGTTAGTGATATTGCATGCATTCTTCAGCTATATGCATGTAAATTGTTTAATGATTTTGCTATATAAACCATTTTCAGGCTATTTTTTGGTTAAAGTAGATATACGGGTGCCCCTTGCATTATCGCTAAGTTGTTTCATTTATGGTAACCTGAGTAGTTGAATGTTATGGAAACCCTATTATGATGCAATTCCTTGCATGATTGTGGTCAATTTGAATCGTGGGAGATGATATGTAATGTGCACATCTGATTTTCGATAAGTATATTGTTATTTTGTGGTTTGCACGGTAAAATGGCTGAATGTGGTAAGATTAATTTGGAGTTCTGTACAATTTAGAATGAAAGGGAAAAAAACATTAATTGACTAGTGTGTAAATGAAGGTTTACTTAGTAGCCATTATTAAGTGTCCTGAACGGTTTTGGGATTATGGAGGATATTTTTTACTCTTGTTTTTGTGAATTTATGTGCCGACACCAGTATACAGATTCTAGTTAAGATAATTTTAAGTTTTTGGATGCTGTTAAGGAATTTTATTTGTTTTGAGGACTCGTAAATAAGGTAAGTGGATATTTCCTTTGTGTAGTGCTAAGATGAATTTCCTTTTTTATGTTATTTCATTGATTTAAAATGTAGTTTATTGAGATTATACATTTTTTGTTGGCTGATCCTTTGACCTTTTTAAGTGAATATAGATCCATGTGTACATGGACAAGGTCAAGGGAATGTGCAATGCCTAGTTTGTGCAATTCTCTGATGTTTTTTAAATGAAAATGGGTTGATGTGTACCTGGATAGGGAGTTTGTGCAATTCTTTGACTTGTTATTTTGGATTTATGTAACGGCGATTTTGGAAGTAAAAATCACTGCTACACAAGGCCAAAATGCAAGTCCAAGAATTGCACAAACTCAGTGTCCATGTACCACCAATTATCGCCAAGGAGCACCTTAAATATATTTTTACCTATTTTTTAAGTAATTTCTAATGGACTATAGGATTAAAACTATTTGTGCTTGGAAAACGATCAAATTCATATATTTGAGATAGTTCACTAATTTTGCAAAACAAGTTGATGCTCTCAAGGCTCCTATGCAACTTGTGCTGACCAGTAGCCAAGCAGTAGTCGCCAAACACTGGTAATTACGTCTGAGGTTCTTATCTTAGTGCACGGCTGATTTCATAGTTTTCCTTTTGTGTAACATGTATACAAGCCAGTTTCCATTATAAAGTCCTTCACAAAGGCATTCCTCACCTTAGGCAAATAACCGTTGAGTGCTATCTAGTAATCAAATTAATTAAACTAATCCTTAAGTCAGTTAATGTTGTAATAAATGTATTACTTTAATCGTGTGCAAATCATGAGTGCGTCTAAGTAGATAGATTGTCATGCAAAAGATACTGCAATTTTAAAATGACACTAGAACTAAAATTTGCGTATATACAAAAATTCATGTAATTTTGCCAAAACTGCTCAGGACAAGAAGCCAAGCAAAAATCAGTGCAATAATAATTTCATTAAATAACATGCATCAAATCAAATACAAAATTGATAACTAAATGCATGAATTTACAAATTTGTATGCAAGTAATACCATGGTCGTTGTATACTATTTACATTATATACATGGAGACTACGTGCTAGGGCCATAGTAAGGGGCTTTTAATGAATGATTTTAGGCTTAGAATTTTATGACGTATAGATCTGAACTACAGCATCATTCAGCCTGTTTAGGACTGTGTGATGATCGCCCTAGGGTGACTCT